CATTTTTTACATTTTGTTTGAATTATAGTCTTGATCTCAGTCTGCCTACAATGGGTTTATTGGTACAAAATTCTGCCCACCATGATGGTCTCTGAAGGACCTTGTTGCCTTGCAGGACTGTACTCCAGAGATTTTTATATAGCTACAAAAAAGAGGGGATTAACATAAACCAAATACATAAATCATTTCTGTTTTGCATAAATTAAACGGTCCAAATAAAAATATTGGAATAGAAGTGCAGCTTTATTTCAAGCTTTAGAAATAAACGCAAAATTAAAATGTGCCTAAACCATGTGAAAGCCAAAAAAAAAAAAATTCCAACAACAACAAAAGCATATAGGCCTTGGAGCTTTAACTGCTGTAAACCTACACTGCTAAACAGTTTTATGTAAACTGAAGCTCTGCCCTTTTAACTGCTACAAACCAGCATGAAGAAACAGGAGAGGAATGAAAACTCTGGGGTTCTTGATTTTCTGGGGACTTTTTTGATTGCAACTGGATATTAATCATTTTCACATGCGTAGTTACTAGAGGAAACATTAAATGAAGCCCTTTCTTATTATGTCCACACCTAGAAGACTATAGCTGAGGAAACCTAATTATGTCTGTTTTTATCCTTATGTTTTTATCCTTTTATTTCTTATGTTTCTGGAAAGCTTTACAATTTCTCTCCCAGATGTGGATGTTTATGGTTGAGCATCAGAAATTCCTCTTTTATCTATCAGCACCTCATTAATTCATCAGACTTTTCCAAATTGTTATTTTATACAGCCCCGTTAAAAGGATTAAACAGGATATAAATTCTGCCAAAGTCCATTTTAACAGTGTGGACTAGGTTGGGAACTAGTCACGCTATACGTTGTGCAATTTCGAATTATTTGACAATTTCACATTTAATTTAAACTTAAACTTCTAAAACTATTATGGAAATGAAGATAAGAGAAGCCAGCTCTTCAGATAGTATCAATCAATATATAACTCTAGACATGTTGAGGGACTCCAGAACAGCAGGGCCCGGAAGACCTGGGGAGAGTCTGCCCTGTGTACCGAGCACACTGTCCTTTTATTCTCTCCAGAGGCTCTGCCCCTGAAGTCAACCAGACCTGTAAGGTGCAGTTCTCAATCAGGTCCAGGGCTCTTTGTCCCCCACCACCCTCTAGGCGGGGGCAGGGCAAGCCTCTCCCCGCTACCACCTGATGTGTGGAAATACTCTGCCAATCAAAACTGCCCTCCTCCCATCATGCCATGCAAAGCAGTGAGCCCACCACAGCCGCAAATGAGCAGGCTTCTAACTCATCAGAGGGGATGAGGATCTGGAATAGCCCCCACTAGGATTAATGGGGACAGACCCATTTGTGAAGGGAGTATATGACACGATTGAGTCCAGTTCCTTTTGCACTACTCTTATTACTAAAGAATAACTTACACATTTCCCAGCACCCCTTCCTTCACATTTGAAGGATCTGATTGATTTTCTTTTTGTTAGAATACAGAAATTATGTCAATTAAAAAAGGTGTCCCTCAAAAGTTACTCCATACTGGGCTCAGGTATGTCCACTTGTAAGTAAGGGCTGTCCATTAAGGGCTGTCACCAGAAATTTTTTCCAATCACTAGTAACCACTGATATGGCTCAAGAGGTAGAATTAGTCCTTAAACCTGGAATGAGAAGTGCTTTTCCCTTTGTTTACAATATAATACTTATATTAACTCTCTAAAAACTTTATGTTATTCTCTATATCTTCATCACGTAGTAAGCAATAAGATAACTGTAGATTTCAGGAGGTTGAGGTCAAAGTATTGAAAAGTATGGGTGTGCTCTATTCAGCATTCCTTTCTCAACTCCTTGGCAAACACCCCAGAGTATGGAAATTTGATTCAGGCCCATTCCTCACCAGCAAACCAGTATAAGGGGACAACCAGTTATTATATTATAGTTATCCTATAGTTTGGTTCTGCTGAATAAGGCCAGATGGAAAATAAGAATGTCAGTTAATGATATACATACTACTTCCTTCTGTTTTTTTTCATCAATCTTTTTAAAATCTGTTTCATTAGTATTTTAAGGTCTGTTTTGTTGTGTATACAATCATACATGTTGAAGGTTTAAAAACAAAACAGACTTTCAAATAGATACAACAAAAGGAAAGGTAGAGACAGATCCCAAAATAACCAACATCCCAATATTTAGGGTACTTTCACAGGTTCAAGCCCCTACTCTGTCTGGTTTGTAGTAATAAAGTCAGTTTCTGCTTTAATCAGTCAGTAGGGACTTACTAAACATTCATGGAGCCACAAAAAAAGAAAGGAAACAGAGTGAGGACTTGAACTAGGTAAATGCTGTAATCAGGCCTATTGGCTATTTTGAGCAGCTCTGTCTACCACTTGGCCAGACTTTCTATCCTTGACCCAAGGCGCCTTCACTATCAAATCTTTTATCAAAACTGATATATTTCTACAAAATGTCTCTCAAATCTGCTGGCACTCATCAGATCTAATGTCATGTCATGCTTTTATCTCACTACTGAACTAAGTTACAACTCTGAAAGATCCATGGCAATAGAATGGTTTGATAATGCTGTTTGCTTCCATGTGTCCAGAACAAACTGCAGTCAAGGAACTACAATGCACTTTTTTCCCTTCTACTGAAGTTTTCTCTTTCCACTGATACTACTGTCTCCAGCCTCTGGTTGCCATTCCCCCAACCTATTGCACACCATCCTCTTTATTTATACCTCCTCTCCCTCCCAAATTCTGGAAATTCAGATTTATTCTTTCTGGGGGGCTGTGAATATACCAGGGCACTATTAATTAGGTGGGAGGGTTATGTATACACTTTTAACTGCATAAATAGTCACAGCCATTGTACAACTGTTTGGGTTAGTACGGTTCTGATTGCTCAGTACAGGACCTGAAGGATGGAAGGTGTCTTTATACTTCTTTATGCTTTCTAAAACATTTCTCTGTCGTTGACCCAGAAATCAAGAATCACAATAATGTTACATCTTGCAGTGGCTAGTAACTAGCTCAAAGGTTTATTAGGTGAGCTGGGTATAGCTGCAGAATGTCAGTGTCCCCTCTGCTCCAATGCTGCAGTAATGCTGGGAAGTGATGTCAGGCTGGTTGGCTCAATGCAAGGGCAGGCAATTATTTTGGGCAGAGGGGTGCTTACCCAGTTTTGGCAAGCTGTTGAGAGCCGCATGCATAGCCCCACCCCTTGACAGGTGCCCCACCCCCTGGTTACCATTTTGGGACCAATATCTCAGGGCCAGTGCCAGTGGGACCCAGGGCGGGGTGCAGGCTGGCAGGGGTGTATGGAGCCAGGCTGCACTGCACCAGCAGGGAGAGCATGGAGCTGGTCTGGCTCCATAGAGCCCCTACTGGTCAGGACCCTGTACTCCTGCTGCCCTGCTCTGGGCCCCACCGGCACTGGCCCCGGGACACTGGTGTGGGCCCTGTGTTCCCACTCACTCCCAATTCCACCCCCAGCCACAAGGTACAGGTGGAGGACAGCGCATAGCCCCGACCCCCTGCTCCTTGGCAGGGAATGAGCTGGTGCTGAGCATGGGGAAAAGTGGCCCCTCCCCACCCTGTGGCCCACGTTCCCTGCTGCAGCTGCTTGCAGCCCACACAGGGCTATCCTGAGCAGGCACAGGTGGGGGCTGGGGTGGAGAGGCAGCTGATGTTTGCAGCTGGCCCAGGTTCTGCGTAGCTGCTGACAGATACAGAGCCTGGGCTGGAGTGCAGGGGCTCTGGGTGGGGGGCACAGGGCAGCAAGGCTGGGGGGCATGGGGCAGGTGAGGGGCCATTTTTCCCTGTGCTCCTTACCAGCTGCTTCCCTGCCCTCCCCCCCTCCCGTACCTGAGGTTCCAGCGCGGGGCAGCCTTGTGATCCCAGGCCAGAAGCCCTGGTTGGGGCTTCTGGTTGGGGGGGGGCAGGGGGGCTGCTCTTGCGGGAACCCGCTGAGCTTCCCCTGGGTCCTACTGCCTCTGGTTTCTGTCATTTTTTACAGGAACCAAAGACAGAGAAATATTAATTTTCAAAATTTGTTAGGGGCTCTGCGGGCTGGATAGAATGTCCTTGCAGCCTGGATCTGGCCCATGGGCTGTATTTTGTCCACCCCTGGCTCAATGACACAGTGGAAATACCAGAGCCGGAGACTCCTCACTTGAGCAAAGCAGAGCTAAGGGACTGTAGTGAGGGCAATATCCTAACCCAGACATACTTAAGTTCTGGCATGTGGGCCAGATCCATGGCTGCAAGTCTTCTGGCTGTGGGGCTGCTCATAGGTCTGGGAATTTGGCAGTGGAGGGAGTGGTGGCAAGTCTATTTCTGGTGGGGGCCCCATTCTGGTGTAGAGAGGGGGTGGTTCCATGCCCCAGGGCCCAATCTGGCCTGCAGATGGGCTCCAGGCCATCCATCTGGCCTGTGGTGCCAAAAGGTTGAGTATGGTTGTCCTAACTGGCACGAGTCCATCATTGCTAAAGTAAAAGGAAATAAAAACTGTTGCTTGTAAAAGTCTCTTTTCTTCTGCTGTTTCAAGTATTCCCTGTATGGTAACTAAGGCAGTATTGTCTACTGGTTGGAACACAGTTTAAATCAGGAACTTAATCTGGGAACTTAACCCAAGCTCCCAGGTGGTGTAAAAGGGTGACGATTTGACTGTAATGGGCTGCTGGGAGGTTTAATTTACTAATATTTGCTAATTGCTTTGAGAAGTTTGTAAGAGTTTTGGAAGAAAAGGCATGGTGGAAATACAAATTCAAAAAATGCCACGTTTTATAAACAGGCTGAAGAGATGAACTGTTTGAGATGGAATGCTAGTACCTTGCAGAGTGTCTAATAAAAAGATATTTGCCAAACTCAGTCAGCTTGCTAGCAGCGTGATATCAAAAGTGAGCATCAGCATTCCCTGAACCTCCCACATACACCAGAAATTCCATTTTGATTTGAAACCAGGCTGGCTTTACTTGTAGCCTGGAATACAAGACATATTGTTGGATGCTGTTAGGAAACATCGTTTTGCCTTGGAAAAAAAATATTTTTAATACTTAACAGATCGAGTCCGAGTATGACCACAGAAATAAATTAGAAGCTAATGCTTTCATTTTGCACAGATATAAATGCTTGATCTAGAAACAGGGTGGCTCTTTCATTCAGATTACTTCATCTTTATGTCACTGATCTCTCAAGCAGTAACCCGAGAGTGGAACAAAACAAGTCCATCTGTCTTCAAAATTCTGGTGATGCTTCTCATATAATTTTTACATGGTGTCTGCATAAAATAAAGCTGAAAATACTATGCAGAGTTCCTGAAATGGAGATGTCCATTTAAAAAATGCTATAAATACATAAACTTTAAAACTTTTTTTTAGAAGGAATAAAATGTTTTTAAAATGGGCTTTACTATCAAATGGCATTGAGCCAGATGGTGCTGAGACCTCATCCATGCAAATGGGGATGGGAGGGGGATTGATTCAGAATCAGTGGGACTCAGTCCACTGACTTCAGCAGGCTTCGTGCCTGGCCCAATATTCAAAGAACATTCACACTTCTTTCCATATACTCTGTCTATATCTTTGTATGTAGACAAAGCAATATAGGAGATCCCTGGGGAGCAGGGCAACAGAACAGGATTAGTAAAGTGGGGAAACAGTCTGAGAAGGTGGGCATTGGTGACATGTAGGGGGTGCAAGCGGGTGCATGTGCTCCCCCTGAGATTGGCAACGCAACCCCTGAGATTGGCTGCCACTGACGCTGCTGGCAGCACCTGTGGGCAGTTGCCACTCGCCATTCTCCCCCCCTCACCACCAGCACAACCAGCGGCATCTGCAGGTGGTCTCCAATTGCCAGTCGGCACTCACCGCCCCCACCGCCAACGCCATTGTGGCCATATGTGGAAGCTCCCTGCTTGCCGCCGCCATTGCCTACAGGAGCACACCGTGCCCCGCTAGCCTTGGGAGGCATGCAACATTCATGAAGGTGGGTATAATAATACTAGGTGCTCTGTGCTGCAAAGCAGAAAACTCCTGGAGGCATTCTGAATGTGTCCCACTTCTCTCTGCTGATGTACAGATCTGTATTTTATTTTTGTCTCTGATCTATCACTATCAGGTACAATAATTCTAGCCATGGGAGAACTGTGCATGCTGCTTTGACCAGTCTCAGACATTTATTGTAATAAGAAAACTTTAGAATCAAAATGATTTAAACATTTTGATCATGATCTTATGATATTATATCCAACTGTAATATAGGCACTTTTCCAAAAGCCTTTGCTCTTTATTGGACCAAGGGAGAGACTGACTCACATATCCCTTATTTAATTTGGCAAGTACAGAGCAAACTGCTTCTAGGGATATCTGCAAGTCAGCAACACATCCAGGTCTCATAGCAGAATGCTATTGCTAGAACAGGCGCTGTGACACTAATGTGAAGAAACACATTTTAAAATCTTGGCTAAAGTGTTTCCAGGCAGTTCTGGATGCCTTGATGTTCAGAATGTGCTAAGCGCTCCCCATCTGAAAACTGGGGCCCCCTCCTGGTGTTCCAGGTTGGGTTGCCAAAAGCACGATTACTTTTAAAGGGGCTGGCCTTGTTTTAACAAACTTAGTTTGAAGCCAAGTTAATTAAATGTTTGTGAAGCACTTGAAGGCCCTTTAAATAATCTTGTTTGAAGGGCAAAGCAGAGAGTTATTATTACTGGTCACTCATGTGTTTTTATGGCATTCTTTAAGCTAAGAGCCACCTTCAGCCTTCACAAGCTTTTTACTGACATGCTAAATACTCCCCCTGAATGAGAATGATTCTTTTCTGTGATGCAATGTAATTCCTACTTGGAAAAAGTTACAAATTCACTTTTCTCTCACTATATTTAACACTTTCACCAAACGTCTGAAAGTGAGGATGAACTTTCATGTTAATTATGTCCATAGATGGCACTAAACTTGGGGTGATGTAAACATCAGTTGAGTCACTGGAACCATCAGAAATAGAGCCAGAGATATGAGCACAAGTTTCAAACTGGAGAAGTAAAGAGAATACTTCTGGTCAGACAATAATCTGGAACCACAATATTCAGGGGAAAACCCCACCAAAAACACAGTTAAGATGAAATACTGGCCTCAAAGTCAATGGGAGTTTAGTCAATGAAGCCAAGATTTCATTCCCAAAGTGATAATGGGTGGCATCTTAGATTAACTGGGCAATGTGATACAAAAGTGAAAAAAAAGAGTAATCCAATTCTGAGGTCCATATGCACTTCCATCATGGAAACTGAATCAATGAATTTGGGAATAAGAATGAAAAGAAAAATTAGGAGGAAAATGAAGATCCTTTAAATATGAAAAGACCTAGAAAATATTTTTTTCTTTAAAGAATACAGGCAACCCCGCTTAGCACTCTTAATTGGTTCTGGAAAAACGAAGTGCTCAGCGAAACAGTGTTAAGTGAAACCCATTTCTCCGTAGGATTTAATGTAAATAAATATAATTGGTTCTGCACAACTTGCTGCCCCATCCTAGGCCCTGCTGGCACCGGATTGCTGCAGGCTCAGGATGGTATCCATACCCTGCAGGCGAGTGTGTGACTGGAACAGGGCACGGGCTGCAGCCCGGGACCAGCCCGGGACCAGGGGGAGCTCTGCAGGCTCAGCCCTGTTGTGGCCTGGAGCAGGGGACAATGCGCATGTGTCCTGCCACCCCGGGCCCCACGCTTACGCCCCCTGCCCACCTGCTCCTTTTTGCTGCCACCACCACTCTTCCCCGCCTGCCTACTAGCTGTGGGCTCCTGCTGCGCTCCTGCACCCCGCCCTGGGCCCTGCTGGCCCTGACCCTGGGCACCAGCTCGGGCTCCACAGTCATGCATCCTCCTCCCCTGCTTCTTACCACCGCTGCTCCTCCTCACCAATTCCAGCACCACATGCAGGAGCAAACCCTGCTCTCCTGCTGCCCCACACTGGACCCTGCTGCCTGTCATTCACCTCTTCACTCGCTGCCACCGTCACCATCATTGCTTCTCCCCAGCCCCGCACTGAGCGTTATAATGAAACGCTCTGCACGCTAAGTGAAACAAGGTACATATTTTAAATGAGTGCTATAACGAAACCATGGTTAAGCGAAACCATGTTAAGTGGGGGTTGCCTGTAATGGGATTCTTTGAAGCTAGTCATTTTTAGTTCTGGGTATGCATGGATTTTCACAACAGAAAACATCCTGAGTAATAACACTGACTTTTTTATACTGGTATAAATTGTTGTAGATCAACTGAAGTCAAATTAGTTGCAGCAGCATGTACCAGGGGCCTATCTCCCTTATTTCTAGCCTGTGAAACTTCTTCAGCATAAGATATGAATACACTTACAGAAATACCATTTCAATGATGGGTTTTACAAACACGGGGATGTTATTTACCTCTCCATCAGATCTGCCAATGGGTGAGTTCAGAATGAAGTCAGGAGGAGCAATGACATCAACCAAGGCAACAGCATCATCTTTCAACTGTTTAAAAACAAAGGGCATAATCTTGGAAACTCTTATTGATTTCTATGGTTACCCATGAACAACAGAGCAGTTGAATTCTTGCTCTAGATACCAGTCAATAGTAATTTAAGAACTTACTTTTTAAAGATTCATTTATCTATTAAAACCATGGAGATTTTTTTTCCCTCCAGATAAAACCCCCGACAACATTCTGTACTTTACTGACTGCTTTTAAGACATATTTTCATCTAGGCAGTATCATAAAATATTAATTTTGTAACTCATTCTTTTAAATAAATCTTCTGGATTTTTCTTCTTCATAATTTCATATCTTTCTTAAGCAAAAATGTGCTTCACTCTGAAAAACTGTGTTGAAACAGAATAAAAAATAGCCAATATTTATGAGCCAAAATGATAATGAAATAAGTAGAACTTTATTTCAGCTGTTAACTGTTTTTACTGGCCTGCCCTTTTAATAAACTGCAAGGCTTCAGATGACAAATGAAACCCAGAGCACTATCTTCCAAGCATTTTCTCTAAAAATATGAAATATTACTTTATTTGGGCCCTTGGTGAATAACCCTGAGGATTTAGCCCACTATTTATGCCACTAACCTGCCCTGTAAGAAAAAAGCTGTTGAGCTGCTAATACTGTAGTATAGCATACTAGTCAATGAACTCTTCAAGTGTAGAATAACTGGTAATGTTTCCTTTCAGTATTGGTTTTATATTGCCATCCAACAAGACCAAAGCACTACTAGAAGCTTACCTTGGTACAGAGTTTGAGAATAGCATTTTGGATAAACCTAGCAGGTTCTTCACCTGAAATATATCCACCTGCAAATATATTGATGGAGAAATGAAACTGTGAAGTAAAATCGATTAGGATTGTGCTGATATATTCCTTTTACAAAACGTGCTGTTTATACAGCATTTATAAAGGTTACATACAGCCTCTTTCGGGAGTCACAGGCTGCTTGCAGACATGAAAAAAAATGGCACTCTACTTTCAGCTTGATATATGCCTGTGCTGAGCTCAGCGAATGCCCAGAAGAAGTATTGCATTAGTTTGATGCGGTTCGTCCAATATCTGTATAAATTGGGCACTTCATTGGGGCTCTTGGCACTCTTATTTAATAACTGGATGAAAAGCTGATTGAAGCTGCAAAACTTTGCCTTGGGTACTTGACATTTTTTACATCTGTAACCCACATTTGTCATCTGATTACATATTCTCCAGGGGTACAGGTTGTAGCTGTGTTGATCTAAGGACATAGGCAGACAAGGTTCTTTGGGTGAATCTGATATGTTTTATTAGACCAACTTAAATAGTTGGAAAACAATTATTAAGCAAGCTTTCAGGTTCAAAAACCCTTCATCAAGCTAAGAAACTTCCTTAGCATAACGAAGGGTTTTTGAACCCGAAAGCTTGCTTAATAATTGTTTTCCAACTATTTAAGTTGGTCTAATAAAACATATCAGATTCACCCAAAGAACCTTGTCTACATATTCTCCATTCACTCTCACAGTTGATCACATAGATGTTTAAGTTCTCTATGTTGTTAAAGATAATAGACCAAGTTTTTTTATATTAAAAGTAGAGGCTCATGATTTTATATTCAGAGACAAGGAAGGCCTATAGGTTTCCCTGTGGCCATAGGCCTGCCACCCAACATTCATAGTATATAGGCCTAAATATCTGCCCCATAGTGGTGTATAATATAGACAATAAGAAACAGACCCCGAGTGGAATTCTCTCTTCCTGACAATGTATAGAATAAATGAAGATTACAATTCAGGGCATTAGACGATGACTAACAGAGCATACAGAGGGAGTTGATCTCACCTTGATAGAGCACAGCCATATGTTTACTTAAAGACCATAGTCCATAGAGAGCACTGAGTTGCTTTAGTACAGGCTGGAGAGTAGATGGTGTGGTGGGATCATGAGTGTAATCATGGTATCTTTGTAAAACTGTATGCTCAATAAAAGCCATAGCTAATGAATGACAGTAGTATACCTTAGGAAAGAGAAAGGGAGGATTAGATTGCAAAGTTGTTATATGAATAAAGGAGTTATGTTGAGTGAATCACAGATAGATATGGAGTTGCTTGTGTTACAGCCAATTTGTTGCGTTGATCAACTTTCTTTCTTATAGACATTCATTTTGCATCGGCCAGTTTGTTTGATCTCTGTGTATAGTTATTTACAATTGGTTTGGCTTTCTTTTAAATCTCTGTAACAGATGGGACATGTATAGAATAAATATAATATATATTAGTCATAGTCTGTTACAGAAATTTAAAAGAAAACCAAACCAATTATGGCTAGCCGTGTGCATGTGCATGTAACACATTTTTAAAAAACGTATTCTTAAAAATGCAACTCTATAACTATTTTAAGACAGTGGTTTTCAAACTATTTTGGCCACATGTCCTTTTACCTGCAAAATATCACTGCCTGTACCCCCTATACCCAATGTATTTCTGCACATTCATTCCTTTTTAATAGTGTCTACACTGATGTCAGTGCACTGCAATGCTGTTACGCACTGCATATTGACCAATCAGAAGCTCCACTGCCATTATTAAAATTATTTAAATGTATGCCTGGGCAAACCACCCTGAGGCAGGGCTGGCCCACCCTATACTGCAGAACCTGCGGGCACCCACAGCGCGCGACGTGGCCGTGAACACTCCAAATCAGTGCCATAGCAAAGGGGCCACCACTCCGCGTTGTCCCCTCACCTTCCCCGTTCCGGTCTGGCCACTCGCCACCCCACTTTCCCCCCCTTCCCCCCCCCGGCTTCTTCTGCTGCTCCACTGGCTTCTTTGTGTTAGGGGGCCCCCAAAAATTGTGTGCCAAACCTGCCCTGAGGGTAAGCATGCCCCACCTTGAAAACCACTGTTCTGTGGCATCCCTGATCAATGTCACAGTCTGAAGTAAGGTTAAAAGCCACATATGAATATCCCTAAACTTTAGGGGGGAAGAAATATTTTCCTCAACAGCAAGACTTTAACTTGGAGCAGAATGTCATGATTAAATTCAGTTCTGTAGTCACAACCTAGTGGGTCTCAATATCCTGGCTGGATCTCTGAAAAACTCATTCTTGCCCTTCTCTTTCCCATTTCTTCCCATTTTATAAATACTCCCGTGTAGCCCTTCATTGTTCCCATCAATCATTTGGCCAAGATCAAATAGACAGGATGTCCCTCTGAGCTTGTTAACCTTGTTCAGCCAGCATGAAACATCACTGATGAGTGATACAAAGCACTCCTCCCTTGCTGCCCTGGGATGTCTCCATTGAACTTCTAACCCCTAATACCACTGGGACAGACCAGGAATCTCTTCCAGATCTCCTGAAGCAAGACTGAGCACTATATTGCTTCTCTGCCAGTGGGCTGAGCAAGGGCTTCTTCACACCCCAGTGATTTCAAATCAAATCTGCAAAGGGCTTTAAAACTCCAGTGTGAATTGTTTTGCAATAAAAATATTCCCCTTCCCTGCACAGAGTGGGAAGAATGCCTAATAGTGCAAAATATTTGCCCCCCCAAGTGTAAGGAAGATGCAGGGCAGGACCCATCTGTATTGTGCAACAAAGACTCATTTTTAACATAGTAGGCCATATACCACTTTCCCAAAAGGTCACATTTAGTAACCTACCAGATGCAATCTTAGTATGGCTCATACCTCTGTTAGCTGTCAAGACAAGTAAGGCAACACCCTGTTCTTGGTTTGATTCAGCAAAACATTTCTCTTTTAGCCTGCTGCAATGATGCAGGTGGAGAGGGTTTATTCACATCCATCACTGGTGTTACAAAGTCCCAGCCAGGAGACATCCTGGGGGGTAAATTGCTGGGAAAAGCCACATTGTCAATTCTTCAATACTGAGCTGTGTATTTCTTGTTCTTGTTGTGAGTTTCAATGCACTTTGCAGATAAGGCAGGCTGTCACCAGAGCAAGAGATCTCTCTGGAGTGACAAATATCAAAGTATTCTTTACTTGGGGACCAGCCAATTTTATTCAGAGGTTTGTGGGGCGTTTGGGAAGCTTGGGGCTGCAAGTGATGGTTTGAGCCTGGGCCATGCTTGGCTGCTAAGCCTTGTTGCGGGGACAGTACATCCACCATTAGTGGATTGTAAACATTTCTTTTTCAGTCCCCAATGCTGTCAGCCTGGTATGTTTCATGACTGGATTTGAATTATATAAATTAGAGTTGTAAAAGATCGATTAGGTCATCTAGTTTATCTACCAGCCAGAGTGGGATTCTTTCCTACAGTACGTATTTGGCCATAAAAGCAGCATAATATGCAGATGTAGATGTAAAAATCATATGCTGTAGTAGATTTAATAGTAGCAGATATATTGTATGATACAGCTTAATTTAAAACTGAAATTTTGAAGATTATATATCTGCCTTTTTCTGCAGGGTACTATATTTTGTACAAATTTTTACTGATTATTCATCCCCTTTAGTTATGATACAATATGATACAAATGGATCTGAGTTCATTTTCATTAATTACTTTGACTTGTTGCTTTATGCTCCAGGAAATTATATTGGAAGTCATTAAGGGATAAAAGAAAATGCATCTGGGAAGTATGGATAAAAATAACCAGTAAATAAAGTAAGGAATCTGAATACATTGTTACCTGGCTGTTGTTTCTCGCCTCAAAATCACTACATCCAGACTGTTTCTTCTGGTTCACCTTTAGGTCACTTTCTTGGAGCAGGTAACACACCAGCCATTTGTAGGCTGCTAAAGGAACTGAAAGACAAAAGAAAATTGAAAGGTGGGAAAAAGAAGAAAGCTGAAACACCTGATGTTAGTGTTCATGCTGCTAGATAGCACAGGAAGCATCTTCTGTATTCCAAACCCATGTTAGTTTGGATTCCACTGGAGGCTTTAATATGTGAATAAAAATCTTTTCTAACAGCTCCATCACAAATAAAACAAAATGTGGTTGAATAGAGTTGCTTTTCCTTGGCTGAGAACCTTGGAGTGATACTGAGGAACCTGCTCTCTGAGCCAGCAGTGAATTGATGCCAATCCTGCTTCTTAGGGGCACTCTGGATTTTTAGGGATATATCAGGGATAGTTAACCCGCAGCACGGGAGCATGGCATGCAAAGGCATTTTGCTTGGCACGTGAGCCTCAGGGTAGATGGCAGGGAAGGGGCTGGGGCTGTGCTGCCACAAAAGGATTGGGACCCTTATGGCTCCTGCTCCATCTGCCCCTGGCACGCCAACAGTTGAGGTTGCTTGTGGTTTTATCACTCTGCCTAAAAGCATTGCTGACTCCTGGGATATATATTATTCCTAATGACAGAGTTCTCTTCATTAGGGGAAAGTCATCAGGTAGCTGACTGTAATTCTAATTCTAGTATAAGGAACTGCTTGAACTTTGCCAGCTGTTGTAATACCCTTTAGGGCAATTGTAGTGCTACACAGTAGGCCTGTGAGAAGCAGCTAGTGTTCGCTTCAGATTCGGATTCAGCTGATACAGGGGACAGCGATTCTATTTGTTGATTCAAATCACTGTCCTGAATCGATTCGCCCGAATCTGATGCAGAGATTCAGCTGCAAACGAATCCGCCGAATCTCCAAATCACACAGGCACCATACCCCACCCACTCCCCCAGCCCTGGCAATGGCTGCCCAGCCTGCCCCAGCTCCCGGTCCTTTGAAAAAGAAAAGCCCCCACTCAGTGAGTGCTGCCAGCTGGAGGTGGGGGGAACCCTGCTGCCCTGCACTGCCCCACAGCATGAGCCCCTTCACCTCCCCTCCACTGTCCCAGCCCCGCCATGGCTGCTACTGCTGCCCCAGCTCCCAGCCCTTTAAGAAAAAAAACCAAAAAAACCCCGGTTCTTGCCCAGTGTGGGGGCAATCTCCCCCAGCCCAAAGCCATGTGGGGGGCTCTGCATGAGCCCCCAGAAGCTCCGAGGGCGGGGCAGCCATGGGGGGGCTGGGAGAGGGGGCGGGAGTCATGGGGATCATAATAGAGCCCCCCCATGTAGCGTGGGGCAGTGGGGGGCAGCAGGGATCGCCCCCCTGCTGGGCAGCAGCTGGTGAGTGGGGGCTTTTTTTAAAGCACCGGGAGCTGGGGTGGGTGAGGCAGCCATGGGGGGAGCTGGGACAGTGGGCGAGGGTCGGGGGGCTGAGGGAGCAGGCAGGGGATGGGGCCTAGCAGGGGTCCCCCCATGGTCCCCTTCCCCCTCCTCCAGCTCCCTCTCCCCTGGCCCCTACTTACCAGCTTTGAGTCTGGCTGCAGCTCCCTGCTGCAGCAGGTGGGGACTGCCCGAATCATCAAAACTCTCCAAATCTTTTCTGAATCGATTTGGAGAGCTTCAAATCGATTCAGGCCTTTTCATTAGTCCCCTGATTCGATTCAGATTTGGAGATTCGGCCATCAAATCGGGCCCAATCTCCTCCGAATTGAATCAGCACCCAAAGCTTCACAGAGCCCTGCTATACAGGGATACTTGAGCAAGCTCTGAATATGCTGGCTTAAGGATCAGAAACAATATAGCCACGTTGGTCTTCTTATCCGGGTAAATCAGTCTAGACACCATGCTATGCTAACACAGCAGTAGGGTAGCTGGTCGGAGGGGTTGTGACTGGGGCAGAAGAACTTGGACAAGGGGGTGGGAATGGGACAGGTGCAAAAACAATTGCTGAGGAAGCTGTTGGCAGCCAGCCTGGCTCTGCATGACATTAGTGACTAAGGCAGAGAGTTGCCTTGTTATGCCTCTAACACAGATACACTGTGCTCATATAGCTATTCTGGTCTCTGAGCCATCCCATTTAATTTGGATATCACTACATAGCACTGCAATTGTTCAATGTAGATCAATATATTCTCTTGGGGCAAGCAGATAACAATAAAGAACAGGTATACCAGAGCTGTACTCTTCACATTGCTTGCCCTGACTCTGGAGATGGGTGTGGGCAGCTGGTAATACTGAGCATAACCTTAGCCTACCATGGGACCTGAGGATCACATACACCTTGCAACTGAGGTCCCCTGGCAGTTTTATTATTCAATCACCCAACTCCAATTTAAGTAGGAAGTGAAATAATCACTTAGTATATAAGCTTATTAATTTTTTTAAGTACGTTGGTATTTTTAGGGAAGAAGTCACCACAACAAACGCATGCAAATTTTGTTGATAAATCCTGATTGTCTAAATCCTAGCTAAATTCTTAGCCAGTAATAGTAAATAAATCTTATTAAACAATTAAGAGAAATACAATTTACAAATGCAATCCTGATGTTTGAATAGAGAATAGACAGAAATGTGCTTAGCTATTAGTTTGTGCCATCCTGTGTTTTGCAAACTGGAGCTTTACCATGAAGAACAAAGCAAAAAATCATGTCAGGCAAGACACCTTCTTCTTCTAAGCCTTTGTATTTTGCAGATAGTAAGATGTCAAGTTTTTTCTCCTAGTTATTATGACACTGTCTCATTTGATATTCTGCATCATTACTGGGACTTCAACAACCACAGAACATCAAGTCAGCTGGTTGAGCACTGATGCTGTCATTAAATTCCAGGAAATAAGCAGAATGACTGTTAATGACATATATAAATTAAGGTTAAATTCTTACCCACAAAATAGTCTCAGTTGCATAGACTCAAAAAAAAGCTTAGACTATAAAAGCTTAGAAAACTGCTGAGGTTTTTTGCTCAATGTTACTGTACTTTCTCTATCCAAACCAAAGATTACTCTGTCCAAACCAAAGGTAACATAGTGACATCCTTTAATACAAGACTGCGGGAAACTGTTTTAACTTCAGATGCATACCATGGAAAAAATGTGTCCTGAGTAGCCATCTCTCACCTTCCCCCTGGCTCCTCTTCTACCCCTTCTTGATTACAGAAGCAGGAATAGAACGGAGAGCTGGGCAGTTTCATGGGCTGCAAGGTGTTCAGGGAATTGTAGTCCTGCAGATTGACAATGGAGTGTGCTGCTGCTGGGGATAATTTTCACTCCATTTTTTGCCACCAAAGCCCATGTCCAGAAGGGAAATAAAAAATGCTAATATGGCAGCAAAAATGGAGGTTAGTTCAGCAAACTCCAGGTCTGTAAATCTTTCAAGAATATAGTACTTCCCCCAGTCAAGCCTGGTCACAGGCAACACCAGAATAGCCTCTTGACATCTATCATGGTAAGAAACCAAGGAGTGAAGATCTGATTGAAAGTAGGCATAAAAACCACCATACAATGAAAAGCTAATTCTATTTTGAACCTCAAACTGGCCCACCTCAAGTTTTGAAGGGATTAGTTCCCATTTTAACCTGAGTTGATTCATTCAGCCTTCACTCTTTTGTAGTGAAAAAACCCTCAGCAAATGTCATCAGTGACACAGAAAATAAATATTAGCACTTTTTTCATACTGCGTATTAGAGCTGTGCTTCAGTGTGAGTTTGCATGAATATTATGGGTCTGGAACTATTTGCATTGAGAAAGATAAGAAAATGATTACCTGAAGAGTTCATGCAATCTTCAGCACTGGAGGCTGTAAATTTTTGGCTCAGAGTATAATGGTAATCTTCCAAAAAGTTTACTGTTCCAAAAGGGATTCAATAGGCGCTTTATCTGAAATACAAAGGAAAATAAATTGATTTGTTAAAAATCAGAGTATTTGGAGGTAAAACACTATCTGGGAGCCATGGTTGTTCTTTCATGAGAGGCCAAGTGCAAGGAGGGCAAAACAGTTAGTTTATTATGGATAATCCAGCTGAATGAGAACAGGTGGTCAAGGCCTGAGAAGCTGATGTGGTTGCTTTTGGGTCCAGGCAGATTCAATCTCTATCAGTGGGTTTTCCAAACACGGAGGATTTTGGTTAGCATCTGTGAGAGCAATGTATTTGCTGGATAAAATACTACTGAACAACAAAACAACAATGGAATAATAATAATTATTGGGTTAAGATAAATCCATGGTATTATAACATACACTTGCACATAGTGATTTCTCATGCCCTGAGTGGTTTCAGTAAAATGAATGACACGTCCCCTGGAATGAGGCACCGCTAACTTTAGGAGAGTGACAGAATCTAAGCTTTATGGTTCAGGTACCAAAATAGTTGGAGCCTTCCTGAGTACAAAACTTCTGGTGATTTCAATTAAAGTTCAAGGAGTCTGAATATTTAGCAGAGGTGGCCTAAGGCCCTAAAGTATTTTTGTATGTTAGTTTTTCATAAAATATATCTAAAGCAAAGAACAAAAACTGGCTACCACAAAGTCTAGAAGTTAGGATGACATAACGGGAATGCAAATATAGCAGGGGTCATAATAGCTGTTCATGGAGTACCTAGCATTGCATTTATGCTAGATCAATGGTGCTCAGCCCTACAGGGTGGATGAGTGACACTGTTTCAACCTGTAAGCCACATCCCATACATGGGATTGGGTCTATGGGCCAGATCCCCTTTGCAGCATGTGTATGACCCTTCATGCAGAATCCACCAGTAGCATGACCCTCTGCAACCGTGCCCACTAGTTCTGGCTGCGAAGTGACTATGTACTGGCACAATATGGCACATGAGGCCATGTCATCTAGACCATAGGGATCCCCAGGGGTTCTGAAATTTGCCAATGAGGGACCTGTTGTAGCATTAATTGCCACAGCTCTGGGAGAAATTAATGCTGCTACTGTTACCTGCTGCTAAATTTCTGGATATATGAGGAGTTCCTACTGGCCAGGTGACAAGGCTCCACGGGCTGAAAGTTTAATACATTCTGTCAGCATGAGATCACCTCCCACTCTCATCACTAAATTATCAACAAGCCCAACATAAAATGCAGAATTGCCCACTAACCTTGGTGTTTCACAGTCATCCAGTTCAACAAGTAGTTGCTAGTTTGCTGCAGCAGGACATTATTGTCTCCTTCATATGTGCAGTTTGGATCATTCTCATTGCGGATATCACCTAGACGATTCACTTAAGAAACAAAAAAGTCACAAACTTCAACATCTTGTAACCTACCCAAAATGTGATTAAGGGTAAAAAAAGATTTAACCTGTGATCAAAGGTAAAAAGCAATTGATATGCTATACAGGATGGGTATATGGGTTCTTACATATAGTGGGCTCTAAAGAACAACCACATGGTTCTGAAAACAAACACAGGAGGGTTACTTTTCAAAAGTATCCAGTTTATGAGTATATTTTTCATCTGCAATAGCAGTATTTGCATTTCTGGACTGAACTCAATTTGCGTATAAAGACTTGCCAGTTCTGGCTCCACCCGTTTCATTTGCTGGTCCACTACTCCACGTTGCACCAGGAACTCACTCTGCAGAAGCACATTTTACAGGTCCAAACTGAATATGTAACAAGGAAGACTGACCCAAGGCCCCCTGAAAACTTATCTTCAAAATATCTCTCCCCACAATAACAACTGTGATAAACAAGAGAAACATGTTTTTTCTGACCATATTTATTCAGTAATTTGTAGCTTACTGGATAAGTAGCCATGTCCTCCACAAGCTTCTCGACACTCCTGGGCTGCCCACTGTGCAGACCAGGAGGCCAGTGGTTTGCCAGCAGCAGCCAAAGCATGAAGTTCACGTCCGAGTTCAGCCTTTGTGGAAAAAGAGTCACTGGTAAATTATGTGGTAAGACAAAAAAAAACACACACAAAAAAGGAGAGAGAACCCAAAATCTAGGTTTAAAAAAAAGTCTTCCTTTTTTAATACAATACAAACATCAGCAAAACATATATACCAACCGTACATGTAAGTTTGAATTATACAAACAACAAACACTATAAGGTAAAAGAAAAGAAAAGGAAAAAAAAGTTAAGACGGAAGGATGGAAGAAGAAAAGTGTTCAATGAGTTACCAAAATCTAGCTATCGAATACCGCAAGAATTCCTTCCAAACTGCACTAAATTCTTCAAAGCAGTTAAGCTTGCCCAACATGACTCTCCATAGATGCCAGTTGTGCCATCTTATTGTACCAGATTTCAACCTTTGGAGATGTCCTACTTGTCTAATGCAGCAATATACCTCTGCATGTTACAAGTAAGGCCCTCTGTAAGAATTGCAATTTGGGAAAGATTCAGTTTGAACTCCTTGGTGATATACCCAAGAACACATTTTCTCCTTACAAACCAGCTCTGTTACATATTGACACTTTATCCATACCAATTTCATAATTCAGGGCATGGCTTCCTAGGAGGAATTAATGTAATACAACATTTAAAATTCTATTGTGCCCAAGCCCCATCTAAGGGGCAAGGAATTTGTGAGTGTCCCAGGAGCAAAGCAGGAACCTGATAGTAACTGAGTTGCAATCTGATTGTGGATTCCAGCCTCACACCAGGGGGGATATAATATGTAACATCTGGGTACATTGGCTCAGATGTACTGGCTGATATTTAAAGGAGAGAAAACCAGAACCACCATTACCCACTACTCACTTTTTGTTAACAGGTGCAGGAGAGGAAGGTTGCATCCCCATGGAAGGTACTTTCTACTCTGTGACATGTCAGGGCCATTCAAATTTGATGTGACTGGAGGCCATACACTGTAGGGTTGGCCCCCTCCCTCCAGAGGTCCTTCCCACCCTGTGTGGTGCAGGTTATATCAGTATTGTGTGTCCCCTCTCCTCCCTTTCCCCTTCCACCTGCTCCCCCCACCCAAGCCCTCCCTGCTGCATAGTAGTGGAAGAGGCAGCTGCAGTGGGGTCTGAGCCTCACATTAAGTGCTCACAGGTCATGTGCAGCCCATGGGCTCCCAGTTAGACAGCCCTACTTAGGTAATCCCCAAGAATTAAGGTCTGTCTCTCTTACTGCCTTTAGCAGGCATGTAAGGAGGCTCAAGACTAAGGTTTTAAAGCTCCAGATTTTCAAAAGAGGGTGAAATGGGGATGCTCAATGATGCTCTATGCTTCTAAGAGTCCCAGAGCCTGAATTTACACTGATCTTTGGGGTCCAGCTTGGAAAATTTATCTTGTGTTTCTATCATATGAGCTACAATGAGCTTATAGGAGATGTTCTGCCCATATAGCTGTAGCCTTGTCCAAAAGCAGTTCTGCAGCATTGTTCAAGAACTGCAAAAACACTTGCTGAAGGAGAAATTCACTCAGGGGAGGACCTAGATGACAGTTATCACTTGAACTAAGAGCAAGGTTTAAGCTGGGGACTACCACAAGTAGAAGAATAAAACTCTACTGCTTGAAATGAAAGAGCCAGCAGCGTGCAATAAAAAGTTCTGTATCTCCCGTAGCAGTTCAGGAGACAAAAACACATATGACTTACATTGGTGATGTGATTGAAACCAGAACCTATTCAGCATATTGGGTGTCAACAAATGTGGACATGACAAATTCCCTACATTGTAAACTGACGTTACTACACAGTAAAATGGAGCGAACAGAAGACCTAGCTCCACTATGTAGTAAATCACAAATCCAGGGCAGAATGACCCCTTTTGTTCCCTATGTTTGATGTGCTGTGTATTTGCTCCTCTCTTGAATTTTATCTCAGGTGAGCTGTTTGCTCAATGAGAACTGACTCCCTTGTTGTCTAATGACTTGGCACTGTAATAGCACCTACTGCAGGTCACTAGCTTGGGAGACTTGTTCACTTGTCCACTCCTTCCTACAGTACAGAGCAAAATACGGAGTAACTTATTTTATAGTAACTATGTCGTATGACTGACAGAATTTCAATTCCCCTTGTGCACCTAAATGGCAGTTTTCTAGCGATATAAATGGCTCAGATTCATCAAGAGCAGGAGCTCTTATTAGCTTTTCCCAGTCTAGCATTTCCTATTGGCTGCTGTAGGTAACTCCCCACTCAATGCTTACATACTTCAGAGCTATACAAGGCAGCTCTTGACAATGTGTGAAATATGCATCTCCCCAGAAAGAAACAGCATGGCACTCCTGAGGTAAGACAAGTATTTTTGGGATAAGAGGCCATGATGCCTTAAATACCTAGTAGGTCAAATAGGACTCTGGCCAGGAGAAGCAAGTCATGGGGCATAGTCATTTTATGGTCTCCACAGGAGTGAATGTCACCAAGACTACAAGAATTATACACACAAATAAGAAAACTATGTAGCACTTATTTAGGTAAAAAGTCAGGCCCTAACCCTGTGCAGATAGGCCAAAATATTTCCGCTGATAAAGAGAAAGGATTATTTTTGGGATTTCCAGCAATCTGAAATGGCCCAAAAATTCACTCATCTTCATTTTGTCAATATTTTTAAGTGTTAATTTTTACTATTAAAGTCTTTCCAAGTGCACGGATTGGAATTGCAATATCTATCAGAAACCAGAACATTACCTCTTAACAAAACCCTTTGAGGTGGATCTCATGCAATCTCTTTCATAGTAGAGAAAAACTGAATTTCAATTAAGGTAATCATAGAAAAGTAGGGCTGGAAGGGACCAAAGCAGGGGCAGCTCTGACTAAATCATGCCTGTCTAGTAAGGTAGTGCTTAGGCCACCATTTAGGAAAGCACTTAAATCTAATGTATACAGTCTAAACTATGAGTTACTGTAGTCAACAGAACTAAAGATACACAATAAAGTTAAGCTTAAGTGGTTTCTTGACTCAGGGTCTTAAATATTGACATGGTCATTCCAATACCTCAGCCACTAGCCTATCTTTCTTAATTATAAGGCAATCTAGAGCTTGCATACAGGTCACAGTTTAACAAATTGAAAAAAAATTGCAAAAAATCAGAGTCCCAGCTAGGAGGATATTTATAAACATCTCACCTTTCTTCTACTCTTTTCCTTCATCGCAATGCCTATTTTAAATTCTACGAAGTTCATGAACAAAGTCTTGACGAAATGGTCTAAGGCATACGTAGCTGCCAGATAGGGAAGAAGACGCCATTGCTGTAATGGAAAATAAATCCATCTGAAGAAAGATTGCTACATAAATATTACCAGATCTATTTAACATCACTTTAACATTAAACTGTCTTTAGTATATGTACTTCTAAAGTTTCTGGAAAATTACCATTTTTAGATACCAACTTTTAACTAATAACTCATTCCCCTTCTATCCTAATACACACACTGTTTTTTATAGTTACAATAAATGTATAAAGACCCTGTATATCAAGAATGAAATGGATTCACTTCACAGGATGGTTCTGGTGAAATTAATCAAGTTCACAGTTCTTACTAATTTGTGACAAACAGCACAGTGAACCGACACATAATCATTGAAAGTCTTTGAGGCTGAGACTGTTTTTATTTTCAATTTTATGTGGACAGCACCTAGCTCAGTGGAGTCCTGGTCCAGGACAGGGGCCCCTGCTTCAATATCTAAAATGCCTTCTATAGGTTGCAGAAGTAGAATGTAGAAAAAGAACGTAAATAAGACATTAAGGTGTGTAATGATTTTTGTTAAACCCATCTTATTACGTAAATTACATTTCTTTCTACTGCCTGCAGTGAACAAGGCAGTGTATTCATGTAGAAGCTAACAGAATATAAAAGGGCAATTTTTACCTTGAACAGCTGACTGTCTGAGAACACAAAGATGCTGACAGTAAGAAATAAAAATACAATAAAAAGATACAGTTTTTATACCAATTCTACTTTTCTTCTTTACATAAATTACACCCCGGCAATACCAAAGTACCCCTGTCTTCTCTATACCCATTTGCCAATTTGAATCTTTGAGTGCCTCAAGGGTCTTGGAAACAATTTAGATTTAAATGAGAGTGGATGCATCTACATGTGTGGTTTACTGAGGAGTTGACTAATTAGCTCAGCAGTAAAGCATCACAGTCACCGTCAACACCTGTGCTGGTATTAGGGCGCAATGAACTAATTAACTCCGTTATAGGCTAGTACTGTATTATCTTGTGGAGGAGTACTTTACTGTGCTGAAAGGCACATGTAGATAGCAACTGGGGGTGTAAATTGCACCTGGTCACTGAGCCAGCTGGTGGCTTGCACTGCCCTGGATCAAATTGCTGGTGTCCTGGGCTCCTGCATTGACACTGCACCATGGAGCAGTTGATTCCAGTGCAAGCTGCTTCGTAGTTTATTCTCAATTTAATTTCACATGTAGATGCACCCAGTGTGGAGTTTTCTGCTGAACACCAATGCTTCATGGGTGGGTGACAAGAAGGAATGGTCATGGGAGATGTAGACAAGTCAAAAAAGGTTTTTTTTCTAAATTTTAAAGAGGCGGGGGGGATGGTAAGAGAAAGATTTCATAAATAAAAAGAGCCTTGAAGGTAGGAAGCAAATCTTTAATCTGATGAGTAGATAAGTAAAGCCAGGCTAGGGATAGCGACTGGTGCATGTTCAGAAAAACATACAAGAAGGATGGTCCCAGTGGCTGTGGTTGGAATGGGGGAGGAACTGGTGATGTCAGTGTTGGGAAACCCAGCATGGAAGGAAGTTGATATGGAACCCGTGGTTCTAGACTCTAATACATTCCTTCCTACCAGTCTTAGAAATGTATTTATCAGATCTCTACACCATATTTTGGATTTCACCATGCCAAACCCTCATTTTCATTTATGCTGAGGCCCACTGACACCTCTGCATGTAAAGAGGCCTCAAATGAATATAGAAAGCACACAAATGTATAAGCTAACAGAACTTAACCAAGTTCAACACAGTAATTCTGACTTACATCAGCTGAGGAACTGTTTATATTGAAAAATACTATAACTAAAAGAAAAATCTCTAGATTTGAATGAAAGATTAAACTAAATAGGTTATACCTGCATTTGGTATTCAAGGACTGGTATTTCTTCATCATCTGTTGGCCCAAATTGATGGCGCGTTGCAGAGAAGCGAATGGCTATCGATAAAGCGAGCTTTAAATTAGCAACAGACATTTGTACTATTGAAATTCTGGCAGCAGAGAAAGCTGCAAGAGAAGCACTAAAACGATGTTTGGGATCCTGAGGAAATAAAAGGCACAAAGTAAACCAACCAGTTAACTTGCCATTCAGCAATACTATGCACAATTAAGCTTCCAGCAAGTTCTGACTGCTACACCAAGTGTTACATTTTCAAGAGGCTTGTTAGAGAGTGGGTTCTACATGTCATACTGGCTTTATTGGCATATGTATACTAAAATGCCCACAGTGCCCTGGCCACGATTTAAAGGTGTAGTTCATGAATTTGTGAAATTTCATCATAATATATTTAATAAATTGGATGCATCAAACATGTAGTTCATACCTTAAATGAATTTGTGTATACCCCCTCCACTGTGACACCTCCAGTTCTACTCAGTAAGTTTTCTTTAGGTATCTTGACATTGTGAAACATGGCAAATCTGTGCAAAGAAATATATGTATAATATGAATTTCCTCATAATACAGCTTGAGGTAGCTGCATTGTAAATGGATGGCCACATTATACAAAGGGTTGCATATAGACTTTAGGCATCGTAGTAAGGGGGAAACAGTATCAATATAATGCAGGTATTTGGGGGGGATTTGCTTGTGGAAATAGAGATTTCAATACACAAAGCTACGGGGAGAAGCTCAGGCTAGGGATACTTTCTGTTATTGTATTTATGACTTGGTTTTTGGAATTAAATGCAATGGAATTAGGAAAAGTCCTTCCTGACTGCACACACATTTTCTTTCCACTCACTGATTCCATCAGCTTATATTATTTAAACATAAAATCCTGTGCTTGTTTACAGAAGAGATTAAAAAAAAAAACCTGAATACCTTTAGAGAAGACAGATGTTCTCCTCAGTGAAATACAAACCACCATATACAAGAAACCCACAGACCAACATACATATCTACACAGAACCAGCAATCACTCTAGACATACCAAGAAAGAGGTAATATACAGCCGTACCCTCCAATACTGCTGAATTTACACTGAGAAAGCCCGTGATTGTCACCTCACAAATCTCAAAAGGGCTTTCACTCAATAAGGATACCCCTCCAGAGAGATAGATTGCACTTTTGAAAGAGCCACCCTGATATCACGTGAAGAATTTATGCAGTACTATACAAAAAGATAACCCCACAAATTGAACTCAATTAGTTATGACATACCAACCCTCCCTGAAACCTATATGGAAAATCCTCAAATGATTGCAACCCATACTAGAAGAAGACCCGATTCTTAACGCAATGTTTGTGGAACCACCCGTATTAGCCTTTAAACAGGCACTGAATCTTGCCAACTTCATCACCAGAAGCAAACTTCCAATGGCCCAAAGAACACTGAATGGATCCAAACCATGCCAGGACAAGGAATGTCAAACTTGCCAACACATCTCCACCACTCCCACAATAACTACGCCTCTCAACAGAACAACCTAAATCAAAGAAAAAACACAACCTTTCCATGGAAGGCAGTGTTTATGCCCCACAGCAGTCCAGTATTATTTATCATTTGGGGTTTTCCCCTTACCCAATAGGGCCAAAACCAGTCAACCCTCTCTGGTTATATAATAGCAACTCAAATGCAAGCAAAAGCAAAGAGAAAAAAACCCCTTCTTTCACTCTGAGTGGCTGGCAGCTGCTCTGTCTATCCCAGTGCTCCAGTATCCATAGTAGAAGCATGCTGCAACATGTACCTTCAGTAGTTAGAACTCCTCTAAGTTCTGGGACCAAAATCTGGTCTTCTCCCCACCCCCAGGGTTTGCACAGCTGGGTTTCAGGCTGAGGTAGGGGATCTTGCCTGTTTTCCCAGTCCATGGGAAATAGGGCACTGGCTATAGGAAATGCCAATCTGGAAGGACCAGCAACTGATAAAATGGCATTCTGGTGGCTGCAATGTTCTCCATATCAACATCGCTTTCTGTTGGTTCAGGAAGTTTTTCTGGTTTTCCTTCTTTTTTGCTGAAGAGGTAGAGGAAGCCTCTTCACATAAGACAATCACTGTCCCTCCAGCCTCTCAGTTCTAATCCCCGAAGAGAATTTACAAAATACCTTTCATAGATGAGCCTACGAACTTCACTTTATAAATCTACTAGCTACAAAAAGTCATGAACAAAATACAGACATTGGATTTATGGTGCATTATAACCTGCCTAACATCTGAGAACCTCAGGTAACCTGTCTGCATTTTACCAGCTACAATCTATCACAGGGGTGGCAAAATGCAGCCCGCAGGCCATTCTATCTGACCCATGGGTCCCCTAAAAAATTTAGAAAATTAATATTTATCTGGTCCTAGCTGCCTGCCAAGTGGCCCTCAATGGCTTGCCAAAACTCAGTAAGCGGCCCTCCAACCAAAATAATTACCTGCCCCTGACCTAATTAGGTCAACATTCCTCCCTTTCCCCCTTCCCCCACCTACCTGTCCTCACACCTATTAATTCACATCCATTCTGATCTTCCCTGCCACACATTGGCATTTGCACGGACCTGCATTTTGCATATTGGCTTAAGCTTCTATTCCACCTAGGAGAGCATATAAACACCAGAAGACTCTCCCTATGCCTAAAGAAGGATGTTTGTGCCTGAAAACTTATAAAGAACATTTTTTTCCATCAATTTAGGTGGTTTACTAAATGATACCACATTTACCCAAAGAACCTTGTCTGCCTATGTCTTTAGACCAATGCAGCTATCACCAACACCCCTGAACATATGCAAGACATTTACCTTTGTTCCTCTATTAACAAAGAGGCTGATGAAACACCATTCTCTCATTAACTTTGCCTGCCTTTGCCCATCTGGGGCCAAATTGTGGCATGCCTTTTATGATACCCCCCGACCCAAACCTCAAAGGCCCATAGTGTAGAATTTATCTTAAGGAACTAAATGACTCAAGCCACACAGAAAATCAGGATCTGTCTCTGAAAATACTTTGTGGCAAGGCTTGTCCATTACTGTATGCCTGTACAGCCCCAGCAGAGTTGGCTATAATTTGTACAGTAATACAGATAACAAGATTAATACAGAATCAGTATACTGGAAATGAACAGGAAAAGTTCCCTTAATGGAAGTGTTTGCTATGTGTTGTGTGAACATATAGAATTACAGATAAACAGAGCAGGATGGAACCACAGGAGGTCACCTGGTCTACTTCACTGCTTCCAAGGATAGAGATAGCATATCCTCAATATGTAATGCTTCATCTTAAAAATATGAGAAAGAAAATCATTTCATAACCTGCGGCATCTGAACAGTAAAACTGAAAGGGGCTGTAATTTTAGGCAGGCATGCTTACTTATATTCCTAGGAAAAATGTAGAGTAGTCATTTTTAGCCAAATGGGCGCTAAGGCTTGGAACAACAGCATAATATCAACTCCATTTCTGGATATCTCAGCATCCAATGGTGCTTGAAAATCTGTGTTAGTAATCAAAGCAAATTCCTTATCCTTGCCAATACAGGCATGTATATTTAATAACGCCCAAGAGACCAGGTCTTTTACATTAATAAATTACATAAGCTTTGCAATGCTACAAGTACTTTGAAAATATAAGTAGTTTCCAAGGAAACATATCTGCATATTGTGTTTGCTCTGCTTCAGTGATACAGGGCACATCTACACGAGATGTTTACTGTTGATTTCCCTAATTAGCGCTGCAGTAAACATCTTAGCTTCTACATGTGCAGAGCTATTAGACTGGACTAAACAATAAATTCTGCCACAGATTAGTACTTGTAAATACAAGTACTATCCTACCCTGGAGTTTTTTACTCTGCCGCAACGCATGTGTAGAGGCTGGCTGGGGCACGAGGGTGCTTCAGTAGAAGGGCTGCCTGTTGGCTAGCCCCACACTGAAGCACCCTCATGCCCCAGCCAGCCCCTCTGCAGCACACTGAGGCAGGTCAGAGCAGCCCTGGGCTCACAGGCTGACCCCTTGGGCCTCCTGCCAGCTGGGGCTGCTGTGACCCAGCTCCACATGCTGTGGTCCCAGGTACATGTTCAAACGCAGTGCCTGGGATCAATACATTCTGGTACAATATGCGTGAGAGTTTATTGTTTCAAATTAATGTGTCCACAGAATATTTTCTGCCCAGGACACATACAAACTGTTATATGTCCTCACTACAGAACAGATTCTTGCTACCTTTATTCAGCATGGGTGCATCTACACATGCATGTTAATGTACAGCAATAAACTCCAGCACATATCATGCTGGAGTTTATTACTCCCAAGCGCAGCATTTACACATGTACCCGGAACCATAGCACATTCAGCTGAGTTAGAGCATCCCTGCCTGGCCGGGGACCATGGGGGTCCGCCTGCCAGCCTGGGATTGCTCTGACCTAACTCAATATGCTGTGGAGGGGGTGGCTAGGGCACATGTGTGCTACAGTGCAGGGCTGGCTTGCAGGCAGCACCTGCAATCAAACACCCACATGTCCCAGCCAGCTGGGTCAGCATCTACACATGGGCTGCTGTGCATGAAAAACTCTGCAGCACATGTATGTACAATTACTAACCTGCTGTGGAGTTACTTGTTTCCTGCTCCCTAATAGGACCACATGTATAGATGCTGAGATGTTTACTGGGGAGCTGACTAGGCAATTCTGCAGTAAATGTCTCAGTTAGACGCGCTCCTGGAGAAGTGCTCTGTTCTGCCTGAAGTCCCATTGACTTCAGTGAAAGGAATATAGCACAACCTAATGTCAATGTTCGGGTGGTGAGATCTAACTTCAAGTTGCAAAAATCATACGTTCATCTAAACTAATCTGTTTTTGGTTGTGTACAAAAAGGTTGATTCAAAACAATAAATCTTAAATTCACCAAACCCATGGTCTCCACCCTCAAAATAATATTCAGAAAACTATATATTAGGCCCAGCTCTAATATTTGTTAGTCAGGAATTAGATATGTCGGGTACAGGAATAGTAGTGAAACAACCAATCAGAGTGTAGCGTGCTGCCATGACAGCAAGGATGGAGGGGATGGAGCAGGGGAGCAAGGCCAGAAGTGCTGACCTCGCCCCACCCACTCTGTCCCTACCATCATAGCAGCATTTGGCGGGGGGTGGGGGAAGGCTAGCAGCACTAGAAGCAACAGTGGTGCAGGGTTCTGGCAGAGGGATACAAAGGGGATGGTGGGGCAAGCTTCCCCCCCTGCTCCTGGGAGGCGACAACAGCATGGGGTGTTGGGTGGTGACGCTTTGTCCCTGCCTGCCCCCTCACCCCTCTCATTCTTGCTGGGCAGTTGGCTAGCTTTTTTATATTTACTATTTATATTATGGTAGACCTTAGAAGTCAAACCATGGATCAGAAGCCCATCATGCTATGGGTTATCCAAACAGAAAATAAAAATGCAGAATGCTTACAAGAAACAACAAATAACTTTAAGTAGTTGGTGAAGCTCATGGATATGACATGATAA